CTACACCTGTTGCGTAGGCTCGTTTATTTGCGCTCTTTTTGCGAATTGTGTGTAACTACAAGACAGAAGGACCAAATCACCAGATTCCAATCCTTTCGCATGGGCTTCCCGCTCCTAGTGGCTCGATTCACATGCATAAGGGATTCCTGCTGACCTTCCTGATCTCAAGAGCCCCAAATATCACATTTTACCGCTTCATCCCGGATTAGGCGCTCATGTGCCGGGGATCTCGCCGTAATCCTAACCGGAAACGGTTGCCCGGGGGCGAAGGCATTGAGTTCCTTATCGTTGAAGTCCCCTGCAGGAGAAAAGTCGAAGCAGTAGACTAGCCGAGAAAATGCGATGAACATCTCCTTCTGCGCTAGCTTGTATCCTACGCAAGAACGTCTGCCAGCATTGAATGCGAATTGCCAGAGGTTCTGCTCAACTGCACTATTAGATCTGGTATCATCTTGTTTCCCTTCTTTATCTCCAAGCCATCGTTCGGGTTTGAAGCTGTCAGCTTCATCAAAACCATTAGTACAGACCGCGATCGTGTTCACGAGGAACTCCGTGCCGCAGGGGAACTTATATCCTTCGAATTCAAGGTCCTCGACTAACACGCGCTGGGGAATAAGGGGCACCGTTGGACGCCACCGGAGTACTTCCTTGACAACTGCCGAGCTATAGGGCGCGTTAGTTAAGTCGTTCAAACCAGGCAGCCGATAAGCATCAGCGCCGCATATACTGTCCAACTCGAGTCGCATGCGCCGTATAAGTTCCGGCCACGCAATGCAAGCCATGATGAATCCATTCAGTGTCATACGAGGGTTGTCAGAGCCAGCAGTGATAATGAACAGCGTGATATACATCGCCTGATCATCAGAGCCCTTGTACTCCCCCAACATTGTCTTCCGGACAAATGAGGATTCAGGAATGTGTGTGCCCTTTAACTCCGACCACCAATTCTTGAAAATGCGGTAATGGAAGTCCCCCATCGATTTCCAGTGAGTGCGCCAAAGCTGGAGGCACTTAGGCAGTAAGCTGATTTGCGGGTAGAAATCCACAAAGCTGCTGTTGATAGAAGTTAAGAAAGTTGATGTCACTCTCTGTAAGTCTTCCAGTTCGCCTCTAGCTTTCCGCAAAGATGTATCGGTGACAATTCGATACATGATAGCTATGGTAAAGCGATAGTTGTGCGCATACCAAGCATTTGGTTCATCCAGATAGGCCTTTAGTAATCCTAAGCTTGATTCCTCTGCGAGACTACTGTGAGTCTTGGAGCCTTCTCCTGTCATGAGTTGGTGCAGTAGCCGTCGGCCCTCTCTCCACTGCTCGGTCTTTTGCAAAAAGAGCCGGTGATCTCTGCTCACCAACCCTCCAGCAACTGGGAAGTATGGTCTCTCGTGAGTTATGTTGGCTCTCTTAGCGATAATTTCGTTCAGGACTCTCTGGCTATTAAGCAGCACCCAGGTTCTAGTACCCATGCTTAAAGTTGTCATTTCACCATGCTGCGCCTGTTCCTGAAGCTATCGGCCAATCAGCAAACGATTGACTATATGGATGAGTGACATACCCATGAAATCAGGCTGCCGTTGCTCCTAGCCCTAAGCCACGGCAACAATGAGCCGAGCAACGGAGAGCCTTTAGGCCCTGGGGGTAATACATATTTCCCACCGGTCCGTTTGAAACCACGGTGAGGCGGGAGCAGGACGTGAACGATAAGGGATGAAATAAATAGTAGCAACAGAATTATCGTAATCGTAAAGGGGCTTAGAAAGGCCGACATACTTGTTATGGACGTTACGCTTTACTCAAATGCGAATTGGTTTGGGAAGGATAAGAATGTGCAGCATTTTCCATGCAAGACAATAGCACCTGGATATGAAAACACTTACAGATGTTCACCAGACACAAACAATTCGAGATAACGACTGGCAGTTCCAACTTCAGCAACCACCAGCTAAGGAGCTCGTCCAGTGCTGATCTTATGATAAGGTTGGCGATGCCACGTCGGACCGTCAAACCGTCCATTGGTCGTCTGACCCTCCGGGTCCGAGAAGCTCTTCCATCACACTGCGATGTAACTAGTATTGCAAGTTCCAGCACGGAAAACACCGCCCCAGTTGTAGTAGCATAGCATACGAAGGATTCTCTGACAACGTATGATAATACCGGTTCCACATAACGTCTTTGTTAGGTGGGTCATAGATAGGACCATATGACTTGGCATTGGTTTAAAAGAGCTGCAATGTCACGACAACATGACGCAGATCAACGGCGCCTCGGTTAGTTATTGGATGCAATAGGCAATCCATGATATTAGAAAGTCCTCCAAACACCACCTATCAGTGTTATCTCCATACTTTCCAGATAGAAGAAATATCAGCACTAGTAGTACCGACTCATATCATATAGATAATTCGCATACTCCGTGTCGTGATAAAATGCATGCGATCCTTCGCGTTTACTACGTTATATGTAGGTAGATATAGACAACTGAATGTACTATGAATATAAAATCACAGCTGTGAAGCCGTACTTGTGGTAAACAAACAATGAACTCTTCGTCTTCTTAAACAGTTTGAAGTTAGTGTCCCTGTCTACTTCTCTGAGAGACAGGTTTTGTTCTGGGAAGAATTTACTCCTATTCATAAATATCTGACACCACACTAAGAGACCAGAATCCAGCCTTACTTCAAGTGAAGCATCTACACAATGACAACTCGCACCTCGACTCGTAACACTTCACAAGGGAAAGCCAGCGTGGCCAGTAATAACGGCACACAGCTCGGCGCCACCAAAGACAAATCAAACAACAGTAAACCTCCCACCAACTACTTCCCACACCTCCCGGCGTACTCGGATCCCACCATAGGAATTCTATCAAAACTGCCGCGCTCATGGGTCCCTTACGCCCAGCTGATGCGTATAGACCGGCCAGGGGGCCTCTACGCCTTCTACTTCCCATACCTGATCGGTCTCATGTACGGCGCATGCGTAGCTTGGCCAGCCCCCGAACCTCTCACGCTGCTGTCCCTCGCGGCAATCCTACTACCCTTCAACGTCGTGTTGCGCGGCGCGGCGTGTACTTGGAATGACACGGTCGACCAAGATTTCGACAGGCGGGTCGTCCGCTGCCGTCACCGGCCCGTGGCCCGGGGCGCCGTGTCCACCTCCGCGGCGCACCTGTTCACCGCTCTGCAGCTCGCGCTGCTCTATCCGGCCACCGTGGTCTGCTTTCCGGCGGCTTGCATGCCGCATTTTCTCCTCATGGTGCTGCTCTTCGGCGTATACGCGCTCATGAAGCGCGTGACGTACTACCCGCAAGTCGTTCTCGGGGTGCCGTTCGCGTGGGCGGTATTCTTCAGTGTTGCGGCGCTGGACTTGGAGCCCATCCCGCTCGCTCTACCATTCTTTGATACCCGCTTCAGCCTGGGCCAGGGGAGTAATAAAGCACAATTTAAACCAGTAGGCAATGCGACAATTGCCCTTTTCGGCGCGAACATCCTGTGGACAATCACCTACGACACCATCTACGCGCACCAAGACGTGGCAGACGACGCGAAAGCCGGCGTGAAAGGCATGGCGCTGAAATTCAGACGCAGCACTAAGTTACTGGCTGGGGTGCTCAGTGCAGGTCAGGTGGGACTCTTGGCCCTGTGCGGGATATGGGCCGGTTTTGGGACGTTGTATTTCCTGGGCACCGTCGGCGGTGTCGGCCTGGCCCTGGCTTACTATATCTACGACGTCGACCTGGCATCGCCGGAGAACTGCGGGAAATGGTTTCACGACCAATTCTGGATCGTGGGCGCCCCGTTTATATTAGGTTTTGTTGGCGAATATCTAACAACACGGGAAAGTTTTTGAACTACGAAAGAATATAGACACGTTACGCGTGGATTATATTTAGGATAGCGATACAGTTGCGCTGTCTTCAGCGGGAATGATATGCATCGAATTAGACGTAACAGTATGACTATTAAGCTTGACACAGTAAGGCAATATCAGGGTCTTTCTGAGGAGTTAGCTGTCAGTTGGACGTAGACCGCCGTTGTTACACTGAGGGGCTATTGTAACAAAGGCGTGAGGTCAAGGGCTTCAAGGGGACTATGAAGGTCCAGTTCTCCCTTTCAGCTAGGCGGCGACCTTAGGTCTATATATGTGAAAGCCTCGCTCGCTCTCATATAGCCTGTCTCCGTTGTCTTCGAAGTAGTTAAGTAAGGAACTAGCAAAGGAATCTCGCAATCTACTATAAAATGACTTGTAATCAAGATTTAGTTGGAATGAATGGTAGCAATCCAGCAACCACATAAGGAGGTTTCAACCAACCCAAAGCTATAGTCATATCCCATACCATCCTATACTGAGCATGTTGGGTTAATTCGCATGCCAAAAATAGTAGTCCGAAATTCTGGTCTCTGAATTCCCGTGTATAACACACAAAACCAGCTTGCGAGCTCCAGCATTCGCTATCTCCCTTCAGGTAACTGGACTATTCTCCCCTTCAAGAAGTGGTTCCCATTCATTGTCCAAGGTATCTAAACTGCAAGCCGTCAGCTGCCTCGTCGTCATTTCACCGTTTCACAATGAGCTTCGACCACGGGGCCATTGACAAGGTCATCGTAATCCGCCATACACCGGCCAGGGCAGTCCGTAGCCGAACAAGAATAAGATGTGATGTGATGTAGGATGGCACGAAACCGAGCAGAAAAAATCCAATATTATGATGTGGTAGATCGTTTCACCTGGAAGCTAATAATATAATCTTGACATGTGTAGCCGGATCTTCTCGAAGCCAGAGATTTCCACCCACTCCACCTCGCCGCTATAACATGACCAACCAACCAGCCAAGCCACGCACACGCCGTCGTCTATGGAACATACCCGAACACCTTCAACTAAAATAGGCCATTCATTCGTCAACAACAAAAACCTACTCGCCTTAGATGGAGCCCAGAGCCCGGACTTTGAACCCGCGATAGAGCGAGTCCACTCCATCCACCACCGTTAGCGGTTGTGGCCTCGTGGCCTAATGGCATGGCGTCAGATTTCGGTTCATCGTTCAAATAAAAAAAAGGGCGAGAACTTTATTCTCTGAAGATTGTCGGTTCGAATCCGGCCGAGGTCGAGAGGAATCTCATGTGCTTCATCTAATAGCATGGTCTGTTAGATTTTTATGCTTTTTCTTTCTCCCCTGTTTTTTTTCATCACGATATTACGTAATTACGCTATGGTTATAACTAGAGAGTAGCTTGGCTTAGCTTATCTGATCTGATTAGATTATTCTATGGCTAAACCTAAACTAGCCTAGCAGCACAACCCCCCGTTTTATCAACCTTGGCATATTAATTCGAACTTCCAATGACAAGGAAGATGAGATGCCCTTCTAACATAGCGTTGAATAGCAACATAACAATAGGTAAGCTATAGTGAGTGCTGTGATTCTGCGTAAGTTGATGTATACATATATCCCTTTGTTCGCTGAAGCTGTTCTGGTCGTATTCAAACCCCTGGATCTTATATCACCATACCTCCTCCTTCCAGGAATAATAGAAGCATGGAAAGAAGCGGCTCATCACAGCCATCCGCTCATCTCCCTGCAAAGGAAGACACAGGTTCATGCCCTAACCAAATCCTCAGGGAGGAAGTAACCTATGTCGACTCCTCCCCTAAATCTCACCTTCACCATCCCACCACAGCATATAAGCTAAACTAGCTACTGTAGTTAACAGGACATAGCCCAATAGTACAAAACATACGCGCATTATAGATGTAGTAGCTCAAAGTAGCGCATGGAAGAGAACGAGTGAAGAGAAGAAAATTTTGAGTAGTAATTATTCAATACGCCTGATTTCTTTTATCGCAAAGACTTGCCCCCGTCTTACTCCATAGGTTACGAAATGTATGTACCAGACACCCTAACGCCATCCCTCCGTACCATTAACATACCCATGCCCAAAGTACCCTATCTCGTTACAAGAAGAGACATCGCGAAGGGGAAAGAAAAAAAAAAGGTCGTCTTCTGCCTCCACTCGACTTGCGCATATTAAAACCAGGCCTCTTCTCTGTGTGATCTGATGTAGTTCGCATGACGGTTGGTCAAGTTTCGGCTCGAATCCCTTGCCGTTCATGACTTGCTGGAACGAAGTTGTAAAAGTTCAAATCCGCTAACTAGGTGGGATTGCATATCCAAAGTCGTATGTTAACCTTCATGGCGAGACGAGACCGTGTCCGACGGTCCGCAGAATCATATATCCTCTCTGAAGATAGACCTCCGCTCCGCGACCGACGTGGGACTATCATGCGGCGGGCCTCCAGTAGTAGCGGCGGCCTTGCGCGTATCAATGGGGCGCGGACTGACACCTCTCAAGCTCAGATTGCTCGGCTCGGCAGCAGCATCGTCGAAAGGATTACTAAGGTGGCCCCCTTCAACTGCGGTAGGTCTGGTAGCAGGCACATCGAGGCGGGGGTTGGGACTGCGCCCTCTATTCTCGTCCGCGCCGTCACTCGCGAGATTCATCTGGTAAGCAGACCCTGAGTACGGCCCACCCATTCCATGACCACCATGGTGGTGTCCTCTATCTTCCAGCTCCTGGTCCTCGGGGTAGTAGGATGCGCCGACGCCGTAGGTCTCTTGGCCGACGCTCGCGTCCCAGGCCTCATCCGGGTCGAGGGGTCCAAAGCCGCGGCGGCCGGCGGGAGCGCTGGGCTCGTATGCGCCAGCTGCCGAGCGCGGGTTTTTGAGCGACTGAAACCGGTCGCTTATCCAGCCGCGCACGCCGGCTGCTCTGGGCTGTGGTCCTCCATATGACGATTGGTGCGAGGAGCCCGCGAAGGGGATGTACGAGGACAGGGGCGGGGAAGGAAGCTGTAGACTCACATGTCAGTTCGATCAATGTGGTGAGGCCTCACAGATGGGATCAAGGAAGGACAAGTAAGGCAGAATGAGGGGTAAGGCGTATTCATCATATTGTCATTTGTCGACAGCGAAAGTGACTATTACAAGGAATTGGAGGAAGAAAGGGAAAAGGAAGTAGGAAGGGGGGGTGACAGATGCGGTGATGTCCGGTGTCGCAAGACAAAGCAAGACAAGCATGATGCTAGTGTCGATGCGCGAGATAGAGCGGATACGTACTCCAAGACGTCGTGCGCGCAGCTGGGTGAAAACGACCCAGCCGACGGCCGCAACAACCAACAGCACGGCGAGGACAATAAAGAAGGTGCCCACGGAGCTGACCATTTTCGGGATGAGATTGACGGACGAGCGAGCGAAACGCGCGGTATCTGGCGTGGTCTTGAGGACTTTGGGTGGAGAGCTCCGGGAGTGTCTGTCACCACTCACTCGCTCATTGACTGACTGACTGACTGACTAAGTACCTTACCTTAGTCTATCCACACTCACTAAGCGTGGATAGAGGGTCGCGTCGTTACCGGTGGTGCGACACGACGGTAGGCGGGGGTGGGTTGGTGATGGAGGCGTTAGGCGTGTCGTCGGGTCAAAGATCATGTTCGGTCATGCATCAATCTGTACGGCAGCATGGTTGGTGGTTTGGTGAAGCTTATTGCCCGATTACGAAACCTGCCCACGGTTCAACCGGACAAGCCACTGTCGAATAGCCTACAGGGGGTCCTCCGCTAAATTTAGCATAGGTGGTACCTCTCCACCGGGCACCAATGCACGACACCCGCCCCCACTTCTGTTCGAGTGACGTGCTGTAGGCAGAACTGTAGTAGGTCGAATTTTCGGATATGAAGTTCTACTATCTAACTCGGAAACTAGCCGTTTTTGGCAACCACCCCACAAAGCTCTGACATGCTCTAGATTTGGTTAGATTTGTATGGGTACTCAAGCATACCCCAGCTAAACCCCAGTAGAAAAAGAAACTGATTTAATTGTACGGTCGAGCCCGCAAAAAGTCCTACTATAGGGCTCTATAGCGCAGTACAGCGCTATATACCACTAAGTCCACTATAATACTGCTGCCTAAATAGCACAGCCACCACAGCCACGGGCACTAGCCACTCCACAGATAACTGCTTTAGATTAAATTAGCTGCTTCCATGTGGCTATATCTTTTCATTTGAATCTATTGATACCTCTGTTTTGGTGGCAGACACTGCTAGTTTGATGTACCTACAGATTACCTTTACTTGCGACCGCCCGACCGACCAACCGAGAGCTAGACTGTTGTTTTTGAACCTCCCCACATATTCATAGCCCCTGCTGCCAGTTCTATACAAATTTGGTTAGAGTTAGAGCAGATACCATGGGTATGTGGGGCGTTGCCAGAAACGGCTAGTTTCCGAGTTAGATAGTAGAACTTCATATCCGAAAATCCGACCTAGAACTGTAGGTACTTACATAGTACTGTACTAGGTGTAGCGGACTGGATACTTACTTACCTATGGATACTTAGTTACACCGCGGAATACAAAAGGGCAGGGAGGTGAGAGGGTGGCTTCCAATGTGCGCGATCTCATGCATAACTGTTTTAATACATCATCAGCAAACGCAAGCCCCAACGTCCCCTCCCAGTGTCTCACTCCACCAACCTATCAGCGCCACCAAGCCGCTGCGCATTGATCAAGCCTCTGTATGTCTCACTTATAGAGGGAAGACCAGTCGTGAAATCTGCCTCGTGACTTGATTTCCCCATATATCCGGTCAATGCTTGCTCCTGTGCTTCCCGAGAAATGGTAAGGCCGTTTTTGTCCTACGAGGGCCGAGATCAACGATATACAAGCACCTACCTATCATCAATCTTTGCATGTTGCGATGTGGGTGCAAAAAGGGGGGCAATATCCGTGCAGTGAGCTGAAAAGCTAAGTTAGCTGGAACCGTACACTTCCAAATATTGGTTCTATTCTAGACTATCTACTGTAGAACTGTCCTTTTCCCTGATTCGCCACATACGAAGTACGCCTGATGATCATCAACTCACGATAGGCAGGACCGTAGAATGGTGCTCTAACGGAATCGGAACCACCTCGTGAAGGCTCTATCTTTCTCTATCCTACTCATCCACCCACATGCAACCCGCTTTCTTAACCCGGAAGTTGATTAGTTAGTTAGATCGTGTGTCTCATCCATCGAATTGCCGAGACCTATGTAGCCAACGTCATTCATTCATAGCACATGTCCCAGTGCCCTCCCTGTCTGGCGAAGCTCAGGCTGTCTACGTACTTGCTCAATGTGCAGCGCCCGAGTGCATCGGCGTCGCAGTTCTGTAGGGGAATCACTCTGTCATTGACGAGTACCCGCACGAACTCCTCTCCGGTGCCTCCGCACTGCATCTTCTCCACATACATCCTCGCCGCGAAGGGCACAGCCCAGCTGGCCCCGTAGCCCCCGCTCTCCCTCGGACTAGCCTTCGTAGTATGGGAGAGGGGCTCCGTGGCGTTGTAGAGACCCAGCGCGCCGAACACACCTGACATATCGTTGTCATGGCTGAAGTCTGCGTAAAGTACACTATCGAGAGGGAAGCTCTTCCGAGAGCCGTCTAGTGTGGTGTTCGTGCTCGTGGCGTCGACTACCGGCTGACCCGTGAGTCTCGCAATCAGCTCATTGACGAAGCCGACCCCTTGCGTTGGCCCTAACGGACTACCGTTGGTGTAGCCGTACCATTTGCCTAGTGATTGATAGTAGTCGAAACTATTCCACTCATCCTCCTTGAAAAGTCGGCAGAACGGAGAAAGATGGCCGTCAGTATTGGCAACCGTCTCGAAAGGACATATGTCCATTAGGTGGATGATATCGGAATTTGACAGGTTCGCTCCAGCCAGATTCTTGTTGACTCTTTCCGCTATAGGTGGTACAAACGTGTCAACCCAAATCGTTTGGGCATCGTTCCCTGTATCGGGACCCTCTCTGAAAGCTGTGCAAGTCATCGGACTAAGCGTGTTGTTGAATCCTTCCTCTTCAGGGAGTATGACTAGCTCGTAAGGGTATGCATCTGGGAAGTCGGCCTTCCTGTCCGTCAAGCGCGCCTGATGGAAGCCTTGCGTCCAATTCACGGCCGAGTCGACCACACGCTCCTGGCCGGCGGATCTAACAAAGGGCGAGACATTCTTCGCGAGCTTCTCGTACCGCTTGTAGAACGTAATGCCCGAATTGACTAGCTGCTGCTG